TATTTTATCACTTGAGTAGTAGAGTATATAGAATGAGGAAAGCAGAAGATTGAAGCTTAAATCCTGAGTAGTATCAATATCAACATTGAGGAGGAGAGAGACATGAGAAAAACTGGCAAAGAAGCTCAAGCTGGAAGGGGTCTGAGAGATAGGTGTTAAAAACAAGGCAGCAATGTTTCTGACTGTATATGGGGACCATAGAGGGGCCTTGATAAAATGTTTGAATTCGGAGCTAAATGTTTTCTTCTGAGAGTTAGACTTTATTCAGTACAGAATAAGTCAGCGTAAAGGTATACAAAGTTGTAGTCGAAAAGAGCATAATGGTTCTTGGTTCCAATAACTCATTCAGGAATGGGTGGTACTGTTTCAAGATAACATATGTATAATATCAACATAAAGTACTGTAGCATCAAATGATTCAGAGAGGTCACAGAAGCGAAGGATAGAGGGAGTTGGTTGGAGTTGGCACTGTGGAGCTCATAGGTGGGAAAACCAGTTTCAGTGGAATGGTAAAGACAAATCAATCTACAGTAGATTCAAGAACATCTGGGAATTAAGTAAAGGAGAGAGATGGAATGTGGACATCTCCTTCCTAAAAAGAGTAACAGATGGCAGAAGTTACAGGGTCTGAGAAAACGTGTTTGTTTGTGTTAACGAATGGAGAGATCCTAGCATGTTTATAAATGGAAGGGAAGGAGTCCCCCTTTTGAGTCCCCCAAAAGATGGGACTGGGGACTAGGGACTGGAACCCTGGAAAGACTGAAGGGAAGGAGATCCAAGGACATGATTTATGATGTTTTGAGGAACGATACCATCATCAGAATGAAGGCCTTGTTTGCTACAGTGACTCAGTTGGGGTATTTTTGTTAAAAATATCAATAGCAACACTTTCTAGTCACATCTCACACCGACTGTTTTCACCCTTCCTGGAAATGTTCAATTAGTTTCCTAGACTTAGTGAAATAGTAACTCTTAAGTGAGAAATTGACGATTACAATGGAATGTTCTTTTGTTTTCTAGTTAGAGATGGACAAATGATTGGATGAGAGATAAATCAGGATAATTATTATATTTATTGAATCAATTTCAGTGTAAAATACAAGCGTCTTGATTTTTTGCCCTCAAATTATGATTCAAAGAGCAAAGTGTTAATTGATGATTGTTTCTGAGATAATATTATTCCTTCAAAAATCAAGAACTCTTCACTCATTCATTCAACAAATAGTGATGGAGCATCTACTGTGCCCCAGGCACTCTGTTGAACATTGCAGATATGGATGCAAAGAAGGCATCTTCTCTGGATTCTAGTTATGGAGATAGTTGGTAATGAATGGATCAGGAAAGGCTTCTTTGATGAATTGATGAGTGTGTAAGCAAAGGCCTGAAGAATGGTAGGATTTCTGCAGGAGAAGGGAGGTTGGGGTGGTGATGAGGGGAAGTAGAGACAAGAAGAGAGCTCCTGACAGTTGGAGGAAGAGTAGCTTGAGGAATTTGAGAAACACCCCATTATTCAAAAAGGCTGAAGTGTTCGATGCAGAAGGAAGAAAGAGCAAATATGGCAAGAGATGAGGTTGAACTGGTGCCCTATTGCAATGGGTCTTCTAAGGAATTGGGGCCCTATCTAGGACTAACAGGAAGCCAATGGAGAGTGCTAAGCAGGGGAGCAAGATGAATTAGATTTACATTTTACAAAGATTATTTACTCTTGTTGTAATGTGGAGACCTATTGAAACGGGGCAAGTGTGGGGACGGGAAGAGGAGAAGAGAGATCCTGGAGACTTCATCTAAGGCAGTTATCCTGGCAAGAAAAGAAGGAAAATAACATAGCAGACAGCCAGGAAGTAGAACATAGGGCTTATTGGTGAATTCCTAAGGAGCAGAGGGGGTGAAACACAGGTTCCTGTCTGATTAAGTAACTGGATGGTGGTACCACGCAAAGGAGAAATAATCTTGATTAGGGACAACACTTCTCTTTCAATGCTTTTCTACTTGACATTTGCACACCAAGTTTAGGTGAAGGCCGATAACTGCAGGTGCTTTTTAACCCCATTGTTTGAACTCAAAGCCTCTGGTGTGTGGGCTTCTGTGCACATGCAAATGTTGCTTTCAGTAAGTTTCAAGCAAAGCAAAAGAAAGATATTCACCTGTGGAACTTCAAAAAAGCAAGCACACTGCATTACCGCCTCTGGTGCCCACAAGTCAAGTAATAATAAACATTCCACTTTTAATGTAACAGACTTTCCGTTCCCCACCCTCGCCCCCGGCATCTGCACACACAAATCAGAACTGTCTTAAGTCATGGAATAAAAAATGAAAAAAAAAAAAAAAAAAAGAAAAAGTAAAAGCAAACAAAAAGTGCTTCCTGTGGAGCGAAGGGAAATTTTTGCCCAGTTGATTTTCCAGGTACATGAAAAGTAGTTCTGTATATTTAAAACCACAAGTAGTTGTATTCTTAACTGAGATTTTTGAGAAGAGGCAGCATGGACAGGATCACTTACAGTGGTCTTTGACATAAGGCACATTTACATCGAGGCAAGGCCTGCTTGCTCCCCTTTAACATCAGTTGCCTCCAAGTGTCTTACAGAGAATTGCATTGGTTGGGAAAAAGCAGATGCAGAACAAATAAAAATATGCATATCCAGTTGAACTAAAGCTGGGCCATACCATGACATGTGTTAACTTTTCTCCCCTTGAGATATAGAAACATTGCACCAAAATTTTATTAGGACATCTCTTTTGTGTTAGAATATTTTAGAACTTCATCAAGGACCTAAGTACCTACTCCCACCAAAATAGGAGGCCCCCAAATTATGTTATCAGTGATTTCTGGCCAGATAAATGAGGACTAGCATCTGATTATACTGTGGCAATTAAGAGTGTGGGACTCAGTTTCGTCATCTGGGTTTGATTGGACTCCATTACTTATTGGGCATGTGAACCTCGACTAATCACTTACTCTCTAACCTAAGTTTCCTCATCTGAGAAATGGGAATGATACCAAGATCTACGTCACAGAGAGGCTGTGAGCTGAATGAGATCATTCATGTGAAGTACAGTGTCTGCCACATGGTATATACTCAGTTAACGTTCATTTTTAGATTCCAGCCCTGTTTCCCTCTGCATAAGTGCAGCCGAGCACTAGAATTTGTGATAGCTTTCATCACTTGAAGTAAGAGCTTTCCAAACTTAGTTCTGGAGCGAGGCCACAACAAAGAGAAAGTCACTTTTTCTCCACTGCTTCCTCTTTGCTGGAAAAGGACTCCAGTACAAAGACAGCGGGTCTGGAGGCATTTCCACTTGGTGCTGTCAGGGAGCACAGTAGAAGGGAAAGGAAGGAAATCTGGGTAACAAGTTCCCAGTGGTATTGTTGACCCAGTATTTCCTGCTCAGCCTGGCTCAACACCTCAGATAGCTTCTTTTACACTCAACACTGAAGCTGAGGAGCCCTAAAAAAAGTCCCTTGGAAAATCAGAGACTTTGGGGAATCACTGTAGGACCAGCCTCCTACCTTACCTCTGGAATTCCTTGGCTCTGGTCCGCTGTCCCTGGTTTCTCCTCTATAGCACCAAAACTGGATTCTAGTTCAAAGCCTGGACATTGGACTGCATTCTTGGTTGCCCTGACCTACTGATTTCAGCTTCTCACCTGGATGTCACCTCTGCAGGCCAAGAGTTGGTACTGCGCTGTCACTCCCCAGAAACCCAGCCTGGATCCAGCATCTTGGAAACTAGTTCAGACTTCTGGATGGTTCAGCCAGCCACGGCCTGGATGGCTCTACCTGCATTGGTCAAGTGTGAGGACTCTGGAGCCAGGCTCTCCAAATCCTAGCACTGCCACTTCCTATTTGACTTGTGCCAGTACTTCACAACTCTGTGTCTCAGTTTTTCTCATCTGTAAAAACGGGAAATTAGTAGTCCCCATCTCACAGAATGATTAGGATGATTAAATGAATTAATACCCGTATAAAACATAATATAGGGGCACCTGGGTGACTCAGTTAGTTAAGCATCCAACTTTGGATTTTGGCTCAGGTCATGATCTCATGGTTCATGAGAGCAAGCCCTGCATCAGGCTCTGCACTGTTGGGATTCTCTTTTTCCTTCTGCCCCTTTCTCCTGCTTTCTGTCTCTCAAAAATAAGTAAATAAACATTAAAAAACACATAATATAAACACACATACATAAATAATCCAGATTAATATGATATTGGTCATATTCTGTATTTTTGTATATATTAAGTATATATTATTTCACATTTAGTTATATATCTATTTTGTGTCAAGAGGAATATTCCATGTAAACACATACGTTTGTACATACATACAAATCTCCTTATTTATATTATTGTTATTGTCTGTTCTATCTCCCCACAGGGATGGAGAGACCAGGGGTGGGCTTTTCAACTTTCTTGCTTTCATTTGGGGCTATCAGTTCAGAATTCCTGGTTTCTACAGCCTGCTGTAATATGCAGAGCAGGGTTTAAGTTGGATTAAAATGTGCTTTGTCATTTGGGAAATTATAATCTACAGTGAATGAGACAGAAATATTTGTCAGACTCTTCTGTTGCTCCTCTTCCAGCTATACCTTCATTTCAATTTCTGTAATCATTTCCTTTAGTTTCTGTCCTGTTTCAAAGGCTTTCTATCTCTGGAGCAAATAACACAAGACAGAAAGGTGTCAAAAAATAGGTTATTTATCACACAGTTATTTTTAGAGCCTGTTATCCTTAATAACTATTGATCAGTGGAGTAGGGTGGTTCTGAGAATAAGCATGGTCACTGTCTCTGGCTTTATTGGAACCAGAGTGAGAGTAAAGCTTTTGTCTGTTTTCAAAGTTATCGGCAATCCATGGATTAAGCTGAACCCCCTAAGCAGTAATGCCTCTCGGATAGCCATTGACATCAATCGAGAAACACCTCCTTGCCTTGATGGTAAGTGTGACACTACATAAACCCTCACAAAACCCACTTCCTTTCCAGCAAATAGAAAACAGTTGAGAACATGAATTCACTGTCAGCTTTGAACACTGGAGAGGATTGTATCTGTTTCTGGCAAACATGAAGTTAGACCTCTGCTATTTCCTTCTCTTCTGCTTACAAGTTGAAGTCCTAACAGGTACGTGGCCCATTTTATATTTCTTATTAAGTTATAATTCAAATGAACATTAACAGAAACCAAAGGTAGGAAAAGTCAGGCACCAAATACAAGGGGTTTTTGTTTGTTTTTTTTGTGTTTTTTTGTTTTGTTTTGTTTTGTGTTGTTTTTGTTTTGAAAGTAGCAACAATTGCAGAAGAGCCCCAAGCGCTTGGTTCAGGGCGTTTGTTGCTGAGCAGCTGCTGATAGTGTGGAGTTTGTACTGCTTCCTTTGATATTGTGTTTTAAGATGAAGAAAAATGTTTCATCAGACCACTAAAATTTTAAACTACCTGCTTGGAGTTACCTGCAAGGGGATAAGTAGAAGAGTGGCTTACTGTTCTCAGAGAAAGATAAAAGGCAAAATGACGTGTCAACTGAATGAAAATAAAATAGTCTTGGCATTTGGACTGGGAATTCTTTTTGAAGGAGAAAATAAAATGGAAGGGCTTTGAAAAAAAGGATTTTGATTTTAATCTTATCTGGGTGATCTGGTGTCAGATATGCCGCAGGCTGCCACGGAGGATTTTTTTTTTTTTTTGACATTAAGTGTCAGGATCCCTCTAAAAGGCCAAGGAGTAGTGGGTGATGTAAAAAGACTCTCTAGTTGCTGGAGACATTAAAGAAAAACAAACCACCCTTTTAAAGTCCTCAATTCTCTCTCTTAGATGGTCTATTTGAACGATTTAAATATCAGACTATTTGAATGATTTAAATAATGCTACCAACAACAAAATTAATAAACACATTTCTGCTGCTTTTTCTTGGTACATTTTTGTAATACTTTTATCTTTCACTCTGATCCATGTTCTTGAGGTTGGCAAAAGCAAAGTGAAATTATATTAAATCGGAAAGTTCTATTAACACTAAAAGTGAAAGCAGAAATTTGGTAGGTATAATCTTGTCTAGACATAAGTTTTGCAGTGGTACAAGGAAACAATTTACTTTTCTCTCTAAAAAACTAAAAAGCAAAAGCAGGCTGGTCAAATGCTTCATCTTGTGGAAGTTCAAGGTGGCTCAAATGCTCTTATGTAAGGAGGACTGAAGAGGGAACAATTAGAGTCTACTTACAAGTTCTGAAGCCAGCTTGGGACTACTTGCTTGTTTATGCCTTTTCTACAACCCAGTGAAATATTTTAGCAGCATGAACAACAAACGAATAGCTTTGGAATGGATATTTATTTATTCATTCATTCACTCATCCATTCATTCATGCAGCGTCAAGCACTTCCCAGGCAGAAGGTACTGTGCAGGCTGCTGTGTGAACAAAGATGAGCAAAACCATATCAGTCACCACTCTCATCGTGCTAATTAAATGGCACAGACACACTGGGAGAGAGACATTAATCAAATAATCCCATGAATTAATAATCATTATAGCCAGAACTCAGAGGATGTCACAAAGAATTCTCTCTAGACTGAGTAGATATGGAGGTGGGGTTTGGAAGTGGTATTCACCCAAGTCTTTTGTGGAAGTGGCACTTGAATTAAGGTTGGAAGGATAAAGAGGAAAAAAGGGGGGGATGGTATGAGAGTGAGGAAGAAGATTCCATACCAGGAAGAGAAATGCAAAGAACCTGTGGCAAGAGGAAATGAAGTAAGGTCAGGGAACTGGAAGAAGGTAGATGTGCCTGAAGGAGAGGGGTTTGGGATGGTACAAGATGATGCTGGAAAGGAGAGCAGAGAGCAGACCATTCAGACTGTATGGGCCGTTTAAAGAATTTTGGATTTTTTTCCAAGAACACTGGTGCAAGTCATTGAAGGGTTTGTACTGCCAGAAGGCATCCCAGTATGTTAAACCCATTTGGGCACTTACAGTTGTTGATAATGTGCTTATTACCAGCTTGATACTTGAATTAATAATCATGTTATTTCTGTGGAAGGATGGATCCAGCCTTGGCAGAATTATTTCAAGTTGTTAGACTAAGCTGATAAAGAAATTGTGCTTCTAGAATAATGTTCATCTTAGATTCTCATGGAATAACACCAAAGTTCACTCTTACCACATAGAACACTATGCCACATGGCAAGCCATATTTTGGTTTGACAGGTGGCAAAACTGAAGTATGAATGAGTAAATGGAGATCGTAAGTTGCTAACAGTCTCCATGTTCAAAATACCATCACGATGCATACATCTACCACCTAACCATTCTTTTTTTTTTTTAATGTTTTATTTATAGGAGAGAGAGAGAGACAGCGTGAGCAGGGGAGGGTCAGAGAGAGAGGGAGTCACAGACTGAAACAGGCTCCAGGCTCTGAGCTGGCAGTCAGCGCAGAGCCCGACGAGGGGCTCGAACCCACCAACCGCGAGATCATGACCTAAGCGAAAGTCGGACGATTAACCGACTAAGCCACCCAGGCGGCCCCCACGTAACCGTTCTTAAGAGCCTAAGTGAAGTACACCAACCACGTGCAGGTCTCTTCCTTTGGCACATTTTTAATCCTCCCAACTAAGTAGGCTTTCTCATCCCACAAAAAGGTAAATAAGTATTCTTATCTTCAGTTGATGTTTGAAGAACCCCAGACCAGGAAAGGCTGAGTGATCTGTTAACATAGTAATTAGTGGCAGAATCAAGATGAGAACACCAAATATGCCTGACTCCAGAATTCACATTCTTTACTGTGAAGTAGCAAGAGCTATAACATAAGTTTTAAAAGGAGAGAAATTCTCATCAGTTTTGCATTTGGCTGGTGAGTTAATAGGTTGGAAATCTTGGTGATTTCTTGTCTTTTTAAAATGTTTATTTTTGAGAGAGAGAGAGACAGAGACAGAGAGACAGAGTGCAAACAGGGGAAGGGGCAGAGAGAGAGGGAGGCACAGAATCCAAAACAGGCTCCAGGCTCTGAGCTGTTAGCACAGAGTATGACACAAGGCTTAAACCCATGAACTGCAAGATCATCACAAGAGCCAAAGTCAGATGCTCAACTGACTGAACCACCCAGGTGCACTGGTGATTTCTAGTTGTAACTGTTGATTTCAGTGTAAAATTTAACAAAGTCATCTTCTTTTAGTGATTCTGGAATAATAGGAAACTCCTCGTTGTAAAATGATCTGGAAAAAATGTGACTCTACCTGGGATTGCAAGAACCTCTTTCTACACCTTATGGGCAGTGAGAACCATGTGGAGGACCTTATGAATTCTGATTTTAGAAAGACCTCTCTGAAAGCAGTGTGGAAGCTGTGCCTGAGTGAGAATGATAGAAGTCAGGTGGTGCTTAATAAATGTTCACATCTCACTATGTGTTCTGGGAGGAGGCTGGGAGGATAACCCTCAGGTGCATGTTGAGCCTTTTGTTTCTGAGGGATCCAGTCTGTGATTCCTGAATTCCATCACCTCAGGAAAAGCAGCCCTTTGCTGCCTGCAGACAGGCTCCTCCCCTGAGCTCAGGAGAGAAGCCTGCTGATCTGAGCTGAGCTTCAGCCCCTCCCACAACCCCCTCAAGTAGTCATGTTGGATTTTTAAAAATCCAGATAGTTGACTTTTTCCCCGCTAATGAATTCAGGCCATTCCCATTCAGTGTGATGAACCTGAAAATCCGGTACCCTTGATTTTATCCCTTTGCTGTCATCTTTATTTCTTATTTCTTTTCCTTTGCTGTTGTATTCCTTTGACTAGGCTTCTTTTAACTTCCCTCTTTGCTTCTGTAATTTGGAAGGTTCACTATGGTTCTTAACTGAGTAAGTCATTATGTTCAGAGTATCTTGAATGTCTATTTATTTATTATTGGATTAAAATAAATAATGCCAACGGCCTTGCCTGATGTGCTGACTCCACTGACATGAGAACTTCTGAAGGTTCTTCCCGTCCCACTCTCTCGCTGTCCTATTACTGCACCCCTGCCCCAATCTTGGGCAGACCATTGCTAGGTTTCCTCTTACAGTATCTTGTCTGTTTTAAGGATCCCTTCTTCACACTTCCTTCACCTATTTTCAGTGCCAGCATCCCTCTTGCCATCTGCTCTTGTCTCATGATCTCTGTTCTGATACCGTGATTAGAAGACTTCTGTCATTTTCTGCAGATACCCTGAATTCTGAATTCCAGCACAGGTAAAGAAGTCTTTCTTCAACTCTCATGGGTGACCAATATCTTTTCTGGGAATAGGATTCCTGGACTGAAGCCTTTTCTCTCAATTGTCTGTGGATGCCCATCCACTGTCTGCTGGATTCTAGGGTTGCGGGTGAACGGTTCCATGCTACTCTGATTCTCACTCATTTGTAAGTAACTTTAAAAAGTTCTTTAGGATCTTGTAAGCTATGTATTTCAATATTGGAATTCAGGAATGTTGCCAGGACATGCCTAGCTCTGAGTATTTTCATTAGCTTTGCTTGGGACTGGGTGAGCCATTTTAATCTGTAAACCTGAGGGTTTTGTTTTTTAATTTTCAAGGTTATTTTTCTCCCCATAGTTTAATCATATCTTTGTCTTTTTCTCTTCTTTCTAGGAATACCTATTATTCTCATGTAAGATCTTGAGTGCCTTGTTTTTTTCATCCACAGTTAACACAGTGGGTTTCCTAACTTCCCATTGGTGTTAGCAACCCCCTCAGATGAAGTGGAATATTATAGTTTTTAAATTGCTAGCAGCATATTCCCATTTCTTGGTAAAAACAGAATGTAGGTATGTAGAAAGGACCTGATTCTCATTTTGTTTTGCTCACTGTAAGGTACATAAACTTGTTTGACTTAAAAATTGGCCTCAATATTCATAGTTATAAACTGAGCAAAACACACAACTTTTACTACCTTCCTAGCTTAAGGATAGGAATTTTATATGCAAAAGGATTTATTAAACTTTGTAAATTAAAAATCACCTGTAGCCTTTAATACTCAAGGAAAGGACCACATTTACTCATTAAAGGGTTGTCTATGCAATTGCTATTCTAATAAATTGAGCCTTTCAAATGACACTTTTTGGTCATCCTAAGTAAAATATGACCTTTGGCATTTGAAGCCTTCTTATGAAAATTCAAAGCTAGGGG